TTTAAAGGTGTACATTGTGACTCAAGTTAGTAAATTTTAATTCTTTTAGTATGCATTGTTAAAAGATTTTAACATGTTTTTATTAATATTTCTATTAAATATTATTTATTTATATTAATTATATGTATAATTATTACATAAATAAAAAAAAACATTCTAGCTATTAAACTCAATCTTTAGAAATGTAATATAATTTCTTCATATTTCATATATTTTCTTTTTTGTTTTGTTTTGTTAGTGCTATTGAATTCAATTTATTTAAAGCATTGCATTGCATTATGATTCAGTAATGTGATTTTAGTATTAATACTACTGTACTGTATTAGTACTGTAGTAATATGTGATTTATTCTGTTATTAATAATTTAATTAATTATGTTTTTTTTTTTTTGCTATGCGCTTTAGCATCTATTGCTATTATTGTATTTCCTACAACACTGTAAGAAAAATAATGTTTATTTAATAATAAAAAAACACAATTCAATGTTATTTATTTATTAACTTGCGGTTTTCATTCATATTTAAATTAGTTTTATTTTTATCTATTTTCAATTTTCCTAAATTATTTAGTTTAGTCATTGTTAAAATAATGAAAAGCAAAAAATAAACAAATATTATTATAATTTTTAGTTGTTTTTGTATACAAAAAAATCAATAATGAATATAGATGAGGTGTCACGGTGGCGCAGTGTGTAGCACAATCGCCTCACAGCAAGAAGGTCGTTGGTTCGAGTCTCGGTTGGGTCAGTTGGCGTTTCTGTGTTTGCATGTTCTCCCGGTGTTCACGTTGGTTTCCTCCGGGTGCTCCGGTTTCCTCAACAAGTCTGAAGACATGTGGGATAGGTGAATTGGGTGAGCTAAAATTATCCGTAGTGTTTGAGTGTGAATGTGAGTGTGTATGGATGTTTCCCAATGATGAGTTGCAGCTGGAAGGCCATCCACTGCGTAAAACATATGCAGGATAAGTTGCTAATTTATTCCGCGGTGGCGACCCCAGATTAATAAAGGGACTAAGCTGGAAAGAAAAGTAATGAATATAGATGAGGAACAAGCCTTTATATAATCTTAATTATATATAATTAGATCATTTTTATTTTTGTTTGATTTATGCACTTTGCTAAATCTGCCTTCTGAATTTCAGTAGTCATGTCAAATTGGTAACTAAATCTATCATCTCAAAAACATTGCAAGAATTAGATGCTTTGTTTCCAGTGAGGACTTAGAGAAACTTATTCATGCTTTTATCACCAGCAGAGTGGATTACTGTAATAGAATCCTCACCGGCCTTCCCAAATAGACAGTTCAACCAGAACACAGCTGACATAGCACAGCTTTCCTCAGGTCTTTGAACTGGCTCCCGGTTACATTCAGAATAGATTATAATGTATTATTATTTGTCTATAAATCACTAAATGGCCGAAGACCTCAATACATTACAGATATACTCGCTTAATACAAACCTAACAGGTCACTCAGATCATTAGGACCAAGTGAATTAGAAATTCCAAGAGTTCAAAACAGGGTGAATCCACCTTCTGCTACTTCGCCCCCAACTGTGCTAAGTCCAACAGATGACACTATTATGTCTTTTCTTTTCATTTTCATTCCTTGAAAATCTGTTTTAACACATTTTAATCTGTTTTTATCTGTTTTTAATCATTTTTAAGTCTTTGTTGTTTTTATTTTCTTGTCTCTTTTTTTCTTGTTTATGTAAACCAGTTTGAATAACCATCGTGTATCAAACGTGCTATATAAATAAACTTGCCTTTCCTTCATCCATCACAATGTCATGTTTTAGTGGGTGTAGGAATATGCTTGTCTTTTTATTATTATTCCCCAAACATATTGTCTTGTTTTTAAACACACATAACTCTCTTCATGCAGACAGAAGTGTGAGTTAAGTGTGTGAGCACAGATAAGCGAGTGTGAGACCCAGCAGGTGGAGCATCTCTGTGCATATTTAGTCTTTTCCCCAGTTACTTCTGGATTAATTGGTCCATCTGGATGATCTCCTGCTCTTTATTCTATTGTAAGGACTTGATGAATGTCTGAGAGCAAAGGTCCTTGTCATGTTGTGTTGGATGTTGAGGCCATTCTGGAGGTTTACTTGACAGCCTGAGGCAATAAATGCTAGGTGCTAACCTGAAACAAAGAGAATACAGTAGATGGAGAAGGTCTAAAGGCCAGTCCTTGTTGTTTCCTTTTAGAGGCACTGTGAAATGAAAATAAGGAAGCTTCTGGAAGTTGTGTATAATTAGGCTGGTTTTGCAGGATCCACACAGCTGAAGGAAAACAGATGTGATGGTGTGACCTCGTTTGTTAAAGAATTGATGACAGAGTCCACAAGAAGTTCTCCTTTATGTTCAGTTATGTTTTGAATAGTGTCACTTTGAGATTCTTTAACTATATATATATATTTATTGCATTGCATTGTTTTAATGATGAAGGATGACAACATCGATCGGATCCAAATGCAGCTTTTATTAAGAGTAGTGAGGCAGGCAAGGATCAATAGAGAAGCAGATGATACCTACTAACGATAATACAAATATTAGTCGATGTAACAGAAGGAAAGTTCTTCATAAACATATAAACAAAACAAAGGGTTAGAACACATCTAGGCAAGACAATAAAAGCTTTTAAAAACGCACATTAGATTAACAAGATTCAGCAATGGATGTGTGTGTGAATGGTCTCTACAGTCCATGTATTCAGTGGTGTTGAACTGCAGCTATGTATGTAATCGGGGGTGAGCTGAAACTGGTGTGTGACTGCAGGACATAATGGGATTTGTAGTTTGGTAAATTGACAGGGAGTGTTCTCTTGCAGTTATTTTATATATTTATATATATTGAAAATCATTTTCCCAGATAATAATTCTTAAAAGGCGATCGAGAAGCAACACGACTGACAAAAATAATTGCATTCGCAACTTTGCGCGAGCAAAGCAGTTGAATACCGAATGAGAGGATAATCACTCGCGCTAACAGCTGAGGTGATGCACACGACTGTTTATAAGGCGCGCGCGCTCCCGTTTCCTTTTGTGAAGCAACTGTGTCTAGAAACACAACTGATACGATCGATTCTCTTTCAAATAGACTGAACAAAAAGGGAGGAACATGCACTTACAGTCTTGCTGCTTTCAAGAGTTCCAGAGTTGACTTATTGCACCAGTTGCTTTTCGATTTAACCATACTTTGAAAATATAATTTATGGGTCATTATTAATTTTGCGATGATCCTCCTTTCATTATCACACAGTATGTTTTTACCTGCTTTCTTTTGCATTAATATGGTTTAATTATATATATATTTTTTACAATAACATTGCTTTAATGGGAGAATAACTCCCCATTTATGTGTAGTTAACTGGTGATCTGGGACCTTTAGCCAGGACATATGACTGTGCATATGTTTTGTTAAATAAAAAGTTTAGTATTCAGCTATATTTTGCATGTTTTCACGCATTTAAAATTTGTGGCTAAGAAATAATTAACTGTTTATTTATGGTGTGGTCAGAGATAAATTGGATAAACCCTTCATTTTGGGCTCTGAAAATTATAAAAACTAATTGTAATATATGAAACCCTGACCCATCTGCTCATGATTATTGAGCGAGCTCATACATGATACACAAAAAGTGAAATGAATAAGGAGGCATGTAGAGATAACGCAAACTCTAAATCAAGTAATTTTAGCATGTCAAAGTCATATTTATGTGTATAAAATATATTTTCCCAACAATAAAATTGTGGCTAGTGAAAATGGCGAGTGGCTAGTAATTTTGGAAAACTACTAGCCACAGTGGCTGGTGATCAAAAAAGTTAATGTTAAGCCTTAAGTTATATATATATATATATATATATATATATATATATATATATATATATATATATATATATATTATAGTTTAATTCTGACTGACTGACTGACTGAGCAAAATAATAGTATGACATTCCTGTCTTTGATAAATTTACTGGTATATCACGTATATCTCTTTCTGATACACTTTGACTCTTTTCTTACTTTCTATTGATTTTTGTTGGTTTTCAGTGTTTTTGAAGCAGTCCAAAAAAGTTTACACACTTTGAAGTCTAATCAGAAAATATTTTGAGCAGCACCATGTACTGCGGGCAACTGACCTGTCATTTCTATATGAAGGTAAAGGGTTTTGTGTGTTCCCTCGGGTCTGAGTCTGTCCTAAATAACTGCTTGAAAGCCTGAGGACTCTGGGATATATAACAAGCTCATTTAATTGGTGTGTCAGTGAACTGGTGGATGCGGGTGAGTGGATTCTGATGAGTCTTTGACAGCTTTCAGGTGCAGTGTGTCAGATGTCACTATCATTACTCACACACACACACACACACACACACACACACACACACACAATTAGGAAACACGTACTGTAGATCAGAGCTATGAGCATGGGCATGCTGGAACATTAATAGAAATAATTATGATACGTTTTTGTTAGTTTTTAATGAGTGTTTTATTGTTTTGAAATAAATCATTGTTTTAAAATATATTTTGATTTATATTTTTAGTTGAAATTAATTCATTTATTTATTTATTCATTTTATTTCATTTCATAGCGTACATATTTTAAGGCTATTCAATTTAAAATATTTTTTATTTTGACTTTTTTATTAATACATTTTTTAAAAAAAATTATAATTATTTATTATTTTGTTTAATATTATCTATATATCAGGTCTGGTATGCTTTCATTAAGATTCTCAGGCTTCTCTTTAAACAATAAAAACATTTTTGTTTTTATAGGCTATTTAAAGAAGTAAATAAGTAATTTAATAATTTAATATTATACATTGATTATATTTCACTTCAAATATATTTAAAAAAAATTATTTTATTGCTTGTAATTCTTCGACTTATAGTACTACTTTATTTGATTGATTGATTGATTGATTGATTGATTGATTGATTGATTGATTGATTGATTGATTGATTGATTGATTGATTGATTGATGTCTTTCTGCAGGTGAATGGTCGTGAGTTCTCGAAGTCTGGTCATGATGGGACGGTGGAGGCCCTGCGGAAGGAGCCGATCGTGGTGCAGGTTTTAAGACGTGGCCCATCGTCTGTAACCCAGAGCCTGCAGGAGGTTTGTGTGGTGGACGTTTGCACTCAGACTGACATCACCTTTGAGCACATCATGGCTCTGGCTAAAATGAGACCCTCGACTCCACCGGTGCCAGACATCTGTCCATTCCTGCTGTCCGACAGGTAAATCAACAGCCTGCCTCCACTCCTCAGTCCTTCTGGACTTTACATTACATTTACAGCTGATTATTACATTTAGACCTGATCCATTCACTGTAAAGTTTATTGTGCAATATTTTGCATTACTAATATATTTATTTAGATACGTTTATATTTTAGTAGTTTGAATATTGTAATGCTTAGCACATAAAAATAAACATTATAAACATATATATATATATATATATATATATATATATATATATATATATATATAATTTATTTAGTATAATACTACAGTGTTGACATCCAATTTACAGAACTTTAACTTAATAATTTTATAATCGTTTATTTAATAGTTTTACTTTTTATTTAGTATTCAGCAATTTAAATAAGTCAATAAAATATATAAAATACATGATATTTTATAATATATAATTTTAATGTATTATATTATGAATAATATATTTACATGATAAATTTATAATAGAAATTTGTGTAATGTTTATATATAATTTTTTTATATATAGTTTAAATGTGTAGTTTAGGTTTAGTTTTGGTTTATATTTGTCATTGTTACATTATTAATAATTTATTATGCTATGTCATATATTTGTCTAATTTATTATAATTTTATTTGTCTAATCTAATTTGTCTTATTTAATATACATTTATGTATTTGATTATGTATTTGATATTTTTTTAATTTTTATATTTGCTCAACTTTCTTTTATATATTTGTTTGATGACATTTCCTTTTACAGTGTCCTTGTTACATGCTCCATGTATTTACTACAATGACAATAAATTATCCATACTTAACTAAGTAGTTAGTTATTATTACTTAGTATTTAAATGTATAGTTACACTGTAAATAGGACACATATGATATAACCTTTAAAGATATTTTATGTTTCCAAAATGTTATAAACAGTGAAATTTTATACAATGTTTTAGAGAAAAGCTACCTTGTAAATGTCTTAACCGTCACAGTTTGCATACTAACACATGTGCCATCATCAGTGTGTGTGTGTGTTATTATCATAAATATCTTCTTCAGCAGGCTACAGTCGTAAAGCCCTGATCCTGTAGAAACAGGCCCACCGCCGTCATAAAAGTCACGCCAGGGTCTATGTGTAATTATTGTAGTGTCTTCCCTTATCCATTTCCAGTAATGAGCAGAACACAGGCTGATTAAAACCTAATGGAGCGCTAAAATATCAAACATGCTGGCGCAGAGCTTTCTCTGCTGCTTTATACTCTTTTACGGCCCTTCAGCAGATGATCGGCCACCTCTGATTATTTACATACTTGTGTATCTGTGTGTGCATGTGTGTTTTCTTTGCTAATCTGTTTGCGATGATAAAGTACAGATAAAAAGTGCTGAAATGTGCTTAATTAAATCTTATTTAAGAATATTTTAATAGTAATAAATGTGTAAATGTGGCCTAGCAAAAATAAAATCAAGAGAGGAATTAATGGTTTCCTCATACTGAGACATCTTCTAATGCATGCACGGTCCTAGAGAACCGCCAGCTCTGCTCATTTCCCATGTCTCTTTAACCAAACACAGCTGATTCAGATCATCAACTCATTAGCAGACACTGAAATACATGTAATGGGTGTGACAGAGAAAGAAGACATCCAAACATGCAGTGCTGATGGTCCTCCAGGAACATGGTTGAGAGAAAAAAATTCCATGAAGCAGTTTGTGTGACAGGCATTTTGTCTTTATTTTGGATGTGGAAGAAGGAGTTTATGCTAGTTTACATTTTACTCAAGAGAATGTGAATGGTCAGGCAAGCAATGGTCACAATTAAGAGCAAACAGAAGTATGCAGGCAAATCTAGAGTCGTAGTCAAATACACAGGCGATAGGTCACTACAGGCAGGCAGCAGACAACATAAACAAACAAATAAGACGAGGGTTAAAAACACGGCAAAGCAAGGCAAGTAAAACACGTGGTAATGTTCACAAAACTAATTACAAGACTCAGCACTGATGTGTGTGGGCACGCTGTATTTATAGTTTTTTTAATGATTGAATGATGAGCTTCAGCTGTGTCTGTGTGTGTATGTATATATAATCACCCAAACTCTGAACATGTGCGTGTGAGCGGTGCATGCCTAGAACTTGTAGTCAATATAATGGCGGATTTGTAGTCTGTTGCATTCTGCGTGTCTACCAGCAATCTGTAGCCGCTCGATCGCTGGTCATCATAACAACTATAAATCCATAGAAACTGAGAATTTGCAAGTTGTCTTTCTTCTGTCATAGCTCTATAATGTGCTGAAACAATGCTGTGTAAAAACACATAACATTGATTCTTGCATCCTAAGCACACATATTTGATTTTGCATTTACCATATTTAATGTGTAAAAAAAAGGAAATATCATAAAGGTGTATCATTCTTTCATTAATTCATTCATTCATTTTCTTTTCGGCTTAGTCCCTTTATTAATCCGGGGTTGCCACTGCGGGGTTGCCACCAACTTATCCAGCATGTTTTTATGCAGCGGATGCCCTTCCAGCCGCAATGTATCATAAAAAATGTAACCAGTGTTTTAGTTTAAATGAAGGAGTGAAATATCAGCCATTGATGTGTGAATATGTTCTGTTGATTGGTATTATTTGCGATTGCGGGTGTCCTCAGTCAAACATGTTCTGTTATCTACTGTGAGTTTAAGATTAATTTTGGAGAATCTGTAAATCTGAATCTGCCAATAAAATTACGGACATAAAATGACTTTCTTTTTTTTTGTGTTTTTTTCTGCAGCTGTCATTCCATTCAGACTATGGAGCATGAATATTTCGATTGTCCAGAATATGTAGCCAGCACTCAGGCAGATGTGGACAGAGCAGTTGAGTTTGAGTGTGAGGTGAGTAAAAATATTTTTCCTTTCTTAAAAATCAGGTCTTAAAGCGTTCTAAAATAGTTAAATTGTGGTCTATATAAACCTGCTGGTAACTGTATTATTAGGTTACCAGATAACAAATCACCTAGTAAACACACTCTTAAAATTAATAGTTCCTAAAGAGTTATAATACTTATCTTAGTTTACTAATGCATTATTAAAATCTCAAATAGTGAATGCACTGTGAGTTTCATTGACTAACATTAACAAAAAAATACTGCAATAAATGTATTTTTCATTGTTGTTTTCCTGTTAATGAATACATTACCTAACGCTAACTAACACAAACCTATTGCTGAACCTTTTTCCACTTTAAAGAACCCAATGCAATGAAAAGGTTGATCAAACCTTTATGTTTAGGAGTGCACCAGATTTTTTTGTAGATTGTGATAGCTTGATTGAATTAATCACTTATAAATCACTGTTATTGCATTCTTTCAAAGTGCAACAGAAAAAAGTTTTCATTGTATTTCCACCATAACTGTGACATTTGTCAAAATTTCTAAGTGTTATTTTACACTATAAAGAAATGTCTAACAGCTTGTGTGAATATTTTCACAGAAAGTGTCTGTAGCTTATGATTCAATTTGTTTTTCTATTGCATTATGGGACTTCTGACTTTTTATGTTTTTTTGTACATTTAATTTTATTGATATGACAATATATTAATGTATTTAATACAATTATTTTAATTAATTCTTTTCATTAAAAATGCTTTATTTATAAAAAAGTACTTATTAATTATTTGCAGTAATCTTGTTAACATAATAAAATACATGTAAATCAATTTATTTCAGTCCTACTGCAAACTTGATAGTTAAAAGAATGTATGTATTAAATAATTTTAGTGAGTTACTTTATTCATTTATTAATTTCCTTCAAGTTAGTCCCTTTATTCATCAGGGGTTGCCTTGCCACAGCGGAATGAACCGCCAGAGTTATGAAATAAATACAAGGGATAGTAATGATGTGATAAAATCCATCACTAACATGTCAGTGCATGTTGATAAAATACAAATTAAAAAGTATTTTAATTTTGACCATTTTTAAAATAAATTTATGGAAATTATTTTCATTCGTTTTTAATACATCTATTTTACTTGCATGCTTTACATTATTTTTTATATTTTTTTATCTGAAATAAATTATTTGCATCACCACACATAACTTGAATGCTTATATTATTTTATCTTTTTTTCATTTCATGGTCAAAGGATACAATTAATTAGTTTAATCTTCATACTTTCTTCAAAAAGCCATTTTGCTTTACTGTTAAGAAATTGATGCAGATGGAGAACTCTCAAAAAAAGCCTTTATTCCTTTGACTAATAAACAAGGGGAGCAGATTAGACTCCACTGAGGTGTAATTAGTTTTATTTTTGTAATTAATGTTCTGTCCTACTGGGTCTCACTTGCTCGTTTGGGTAAACAAACGCATGCGCGTTAATGAATCATTATTATGAATATTTGTCATGGTTGTTTGAAGGTGGATAAACAGCTTGTCACCAGATGTTTCATCAAAAGAGTGACATTTGGAGGTTTAATTCATTACATATGATCTATTATTGAATTATGATCAGTCCATACCCAAAATGAGAACTTTATGGCAGTAAACACTTGATATAAATATAGCTGATGAATTATACAGATTTTCAGCCAATCAGAATCCCTCATGCTTAAAATGTCAGACAACAAAACTGTTGAACTATTAATAGTTTGTTTTACAATAAGCTGAATATTTTGAGTTTTGTGGGTGCCATATAAAGTCTATTCTGTTTTATCATTCTTTTAATGAACATGCCTTATGTCATATTATCATCAGTAAAGTGCAGAAATGGCTTTATGACGTAAATGATCATATGATGCAACATAAGAATAATACCAAGAACAATAACCAGCCCAAGCTAAGTGGAAATATCAGCCAATGTTTTTGGAAACTTAAAATTTGTTTCTCTGTGTACGTTTTGTTGCACGTTTTTGTTGACAAAGCCCCAAGAGGGCACCGTCTACATTTTTGCAAATTCAAAAATGTATTACTTGTTGCACATTTTGTTGTACACTTCAGATACATCACGTTGTTATGTACAAAAAAAATTGTTAATAATATGTCTCTGTAAACATCATTAAGCCTGGTTTATACTTCTGCTTCAAGTGATCGGCGTGACCCAGGGAGCATGCAACGCGCCTAGCTGTGCATTCATATTTGTGGGCGCTGTTTCTGTTGCTCTGCAATAACACTTCTGAAACGCTAGTTGGCAGTAAAGTGTTTATGTTCCTCTCTGCGCTGTAGCATATGCGTGCGCTTGACGCAGAAGTATAAATAAGCCTTTAGTGTAAAAAGAAATAAATGTTGTTGGCTCCATGCTGCCCCTGGCGTTAATTTAAGCGAGAAACTGCAGTCAAAAATGTCTAAGTTCTTTTTGCGGTTTCACAAAAAATGTAGGCTTTTCAATGAGCCTGTGTTGACAATGACACATCAAGAGAACAATAATAGGAAGAGAAGTTTTGTAGTACGTCTTAAAGCTTTCTAAAATAGTTACATTGTGGTCCATGTAAACCTGCTGGTAACATTATGGTTAGGTGACCTGATAACAAATGACCAGGTAAACACACTTAAAAATATTGCATCCTAAAGAGTTGTTGTTGTTGTTGTTGTTGTTGTTGTTGTTGTTGTTGTTGTTGTTTTAAAGGAACCAAGAGGGAACGATAATAGAAAAGTTCTGTTCTGTAGTACATGTTACTATTGGTTTTATTGTTTTTATTTTACTAAAGTCTATATTTATTTATTTATTTTTATTTATTTTTTTTTCATTTATTTATAATTTAGTGCACAAAAAAAGCATTCTTGTTGCTTCATAAAATAAAGAATCACATGGGCTACTTCCTTTCTAGGCATTCAGAGCGGAAATTACTTAGGGACAGAAACCTCTTGGATTTCATTGAACATATATTCAAATGTGTTCTGAGAATAAACAAATGACATTTATGGAGAAAGTAGCACAGATAATGTCGAAAACTAATAAGTCATTTGTGTAATCTACTACCAACACAGGTGCAAAATAGCAAACTGACTATGACAAACCATAAATTTACTTCTGAAAGTGGAGAAACTCCGACATCTGCATATAAAATGCTGAAAAAATGCATTTGCAATTTTTTGAAATGCATTTTTTTCTGGTTTATATCATAGTGTATCTTGACAGTCATTTTATATATTTTTAAGCCGCTGGCACAAGCTGTTTGTGAAACTTGTTCTACATCTTTACGGATATCATTATAGTTATCATCTATGTTATGATGAGCCAGACTTTACTCTACATTGCTTCACGCCTGGATGAGAATTCTCCATGCATAATAACTTCAATCTGTCCATCACCAGCAAATCCTTCATATCAGTCTCAGAGGAAAGCACAATTTCACAGAAGCACTTCACCTCTCAGTATACAACACACATCCTGGATTAATATCACGATCTATAAAATGATCACTCCCGTTTTCCAGTTCCATCACTAGTTTAAGAAAGATTGTGTGGATTATTTTGCCGGGTCTGTTGATCCTCTTTGATGAGCATGCGGCCTGAACAATAGACTTGCAGAAAATATGAAGTATCACTGAGCTTCTCCAGCAGATCAATATGAAGCCGTATTAAAGCCGCTGGTGATGAATTGCATCCATTGTGCGGACTGACAGTAACCCACATTCAGCTGAAATACGAGAAAGAGTTTGACTATTTATATCCACAATGCACACCGCAAAAACTGAAATCCGAGAAAGTCGAAAAATCTTAATTCTGGAAAACTTTTGTTATTATTTTGCCAGGCAATTTATAAAAGACTAGATTATGAATCTTGATGGGGTCTTGATGGATTTTTCTTTCTGCTTTTTACTAGAAATGTAATAAAGTGCAAGCTGTTGTATTCAGGATTCAAAAACAAATTCAAATGTCAAGAATCCTATATTCATTCATTCATTCATTCATTTTCCTTTGGCTTAGTCCCTTATTTATCTGGGGTCACCCCAGCGGAATGAACCGGCAACTATTTCGACATGTTTTACGTAGCGGATGCCCTTCCAGCGATTTTGTTTACCCAATTCACCTATAGAGCATGTCTTTGGACTGTGGGGGAAACCAGAACACTTGTAGAAAACCCTCATGATAGTAGATCTAGTTTACCCAAAAATTACACTCACCTCTCCATTTACTCACGTTCAAGTCATTCTAAAATTTATTAATTTCTTTCTTTTGTTGACAACCAAACAAGATATACTTAAGAATTTTGGAAAAAAGCAGCTATTGACACCCATAGTACGTACAAAAAATACTATAAAAGTCAATGGCTGTTTTTCACCCCAACCTTCTTCAGAATATGTTGTTTTGTTTTCCAATAGAAGAATGAAACTCAAGAAGGTTTAATAGAAGTGGAGGATGAGTAAATGATGACAGATTTTTACTTTTAGGTGAACTGTCTCTTTAAGTCAGTGTTGCCTTCCCCATTTCTCCCAAGTGGTCGGTTTTGAAATCATTTGAAATGGCCCTGGAAGAAAAGTGAAGAGCTCATAGAGTGGAAGTGGTAAATCTGGTTAATGTGTTGGGTGGAGTGGTTGACGTATGACGCTGGTCGACCGATAAATGAGTCGTTCTGCTCGACTGAACTGAGGCCAGTGTTATAGTGGCGTGTCGAGCTCTGGCTAACCGTTCTCCTTTGACAGATGAATGTCTCTCAAATGAAGCCCTGTCACCTGCGCCAGGCTTCAGTCGTGACATATAACCCTCGGCCTGCTTGATTGTATCATATTTCAGGGGGGACATCTTTCTGTTGGACACATTTGATGCTCTTTGAACCGTTACTGGTCAGAATAATGTAAAGCTCAAACATTTAAGATGACTCTAGTGCTCCGCTCTCAGTGCTGGAGTTTAGAAGATATCAAAAGCGGCTTTAATTATTTATTTTAGGCAAAACTGTGCTTTGATGAACTGAAATCAGACAATTGAGTAACTGTGAGATCCGCTGTTCTATATATTGATGTTTTTATTCATACCGGATGTTAAGTGCTCTTTAAAAAACAGTTAAGTGCTTCGTTATGATGGGTTTAAATGGAATGAATGTACGAATGACTTTTTTTTATCTATCTGGGTGTGTACGTGTGTTACAGGAGGTTGAGCTCTGTCGAATGAACAGCCAGGAAAAGCTGGGTTTGACTCTGTGTTACCGCACTGATGACGAGGAAGATACAGCAATCTTTGTTGGTCAGGTTGGTAACTTTTATTATTTAATTTTATTATTTATTTATTTGCTTCTTTGTTTGATTTATTTTATTTTTTGTATTTTAATACTTTTAAAATTTATTTTATTTTTTATTTCCTTTTTTATTTAATATTATAATAATATTTAAATATTTTTATTTGATTTTTTAATTTATATATTAATTTTTTTATTTATATGTTTTTATTTTTTATTTTATATTCAATTTTGTGTAATTTAAATTTAAATTTTGTTTTATTTTTATTATATTTTTATTTTTTATTTATTATTTTATTTTTATATTTAAATTTTTTATATTTTATTTCATTTTTTTTCATTTTTTAATTTAATATTTACATTTTTTATTTTAGATTTTTTTTATTTTAGATACTTGTATTTTTTATTTTATATACATTTTATGTAATATTTTTGTTTTAGATTTATAATATTAGATTATTTTATTTAAAAAAATGATTTTATATAACATCATATTATTTTCCCAATTTATTGTATTTTTGTTTACTGTTGTTTATATTTGCTTCTAAAGGCTTCATTTCATTAGAATAAAATCCCTGGTTTTTAAACTGCAATTTCTTATATTGCAACGTTATTCATTACTCACATAGTAACCATGTTTTCTTTCACAGACCATGTGTTGACTTTTCACAATAGTTTCCAACTCTATTTTAGGGTTTTTCTTGCAGCAGTTCAGTTAAATAAACAATGATCTACTGAAAATGAGCACTTTTAGAACACAGAATACTAATTGGGTGACCCGTGTATAATTCATCAACACATGTTACAGTCACCTGCAAGATGTGACAGCGAACATCAGATTTGAAGCAGGCAATCAATTTAATCAGACCGAACCCCTTTTAACACCAATTTAAAATTTTCTGAAAAGTAATTAAAAGATAAAAGCCGGGTTTGATCCATCCTAATTATTCCACATGACCATATTCCTTCACTAGAATTAAAAACCGTTCAATGTGGAAAACGTTCTTGTTTTCCAAAGTTCAAATGGCAGACGAAAGTCTACTGATCCAAGCATGAAGAGAGCAAGTCGAGTTTGGAAAATGATTCCGCACACAGACAGTGCTTTTTCAGTGTTTTAATTGCTGATTTTAATTAGCAAGCAGTGGCACCCCTTCTGTCTCCCGTGGAGTGTAAAATGGCACTTTTTTTCACTCTCACCTTCTTCACTCACCAAAGGCTCAAAACAAGGACTGCATTTCAACAGAGGGGGATTTTTTACCTCATTGTACAGACATTGCCTGTTCTTACACCATTTCTCGCCTAGAGATATGTAAATGTAGAGCACCTGACATCAAACGCTGGCAACTGCTGCTCCTTTTCGTATCATCTCCTGAAAATATATCATAAACAACCTACAGAAATCTTCTATTAATACATGCCTGTGGAGGACGGGGGCGGGGTGGGCGTATATTATGCTAATATTAGCAATTAACAATGCATTTATGCGTATAATGTTAGTCAGATTTGTATTAGTCTTATACACGTGTCTCTCATGTTCAAAAGGTATATATAAATAGCAGGGCCGGAGTGGGACACCTTTTCAGCTCTGGAGTTTCAAGCCTCAGACCGGCCCACCTCAGTTCACGACTGACTATATTAAAATAAGTAAATAAATAAATATTTCCAAATCAGTTTCTAATGACACTATCACGTCTTTTTTTTTTGTTGAGAAAACAGCTGCTTTAGAACTTCAAATGTTAAACAATCCTAACAGTATTATATGTCTTATCAATAAAAATGAAAACACTAAATTACTCTAACGAGGATCGAACCCGGGTCCGTGGCGTCTTAACCTAACGTGCTATCCGCTCGACCACAACAACTGTTTCATGAATGATGACACAACTGAGTTTTATCATTATTAAAATAGATCAAAAGAGAAGAGTTGCGGTATAATAATGAATAAAAAGGCTGTGGTCAAGTAAATAAATAAATTTAAAAAGTGTGATTGCTGAGAGCAACAGATTCTGGAGCTAGGGACACCGGCCCTCGCGGCCAAAAAACAGACCGGCCCACCGGGAATTCTCCCGGTCCTCCCGATTAGCCAATCCGGGCCTGATAAATAGGGAAAAACATATTGTCAAATCTTTTATATACTCCATGCTGCATTCTCTTGTGTGCATGTTATATTGATTTCTATTTTTTTATTACATTCTTTGAAAGGAATGGATTTGTTTGCGGTTTTGGACAGATATGCAAATGAATCTATTACAATAATGAATTCTTCTTGTGATAAGTCATGGAATTATTGCTGGTGTGTTGAGATGAATTATGACAATTTGCATACTGATGGCGTGTTTGTTGTACTGTTGATAGGTCGAGCTCAACAGCATCGCTGCGAGGGATGGACGCATCAGAGAGGGAGACCGGATTTTACAGGTGAGATATACATTTAATTCTGTTTCACACAAACACAATAATTCCCTCGTATAACCTATTCTTCAAACAATGAAATTTTTGCCATTATATAAATCCAGTGTTTGGCAAATTGAATCTTTTACATTATTTTTCTTACTCTTTATTAAAAATAAATTAAACATTTATTCTAAAACCAGTCTAAATTATAATAATAAATATAGGTGTATTATTAAATTTGGTGTGTAAATTAAATATACAGGGTTGTTTTAACCCTGTGTTGGGTCAAATATGGACAAACGCAACCATTGAGTAAAAAGTGTCATTTAAATTTAAGTGAAAGAAATTAACCCACAATTGGGATTGTTCATTTTTGACACATTGTTTGATAAAAACAACAAATTAAAAATAAATACATCAAAATAAATCTAATGAAAAATGCTGATGCATCAAAAAAATTGTTGCAAAATATAAATGTATATGTGTGAATGATTTCCCAGTATTGGTTTGCAGCTGGAAGGGCGTCTGCCGCGTAAAACATACGCTAGGTAAGTTGGCGGTTCATTCCGCTGTGGCAACCCCTGATTAAAAAATGGACTAAGCTGAAAAGAAAATGAATGAATGAGGAAAGGAATGGGGGAATGACAGTGTATGGGTGTTTCCCATTGAAGGGTTGCAGCTGGAAGGGCATCTGCTGCGTAAAACATATGCTGTATAAGTTGGTGGTTCATTCCACTGTTGTAACCCCAGATTAATAATGGGACTAAGCCGAAAAGAAAATGATTAAATGAATGAATGAATGTGTGAATGACAGAGTATGGATGTTTTCCATTGATGGGTTGCAGCTGGAAGGGCATCTGCTGCGTAAAACATATGCTGGATAATTTGGTGGTTCGTTCCACTGTGGCGACCCCTGATTAATAAAGGTACTAAGCTGAAAAGAAAATGAATGAATGTGTGAATGACAGTGTAGGAGTGATTCCCAGTGATGGGTTGCAGCTGAAAGGGCATCTGCTACATAAAATATGTGCTGGAAAAATTGGCGGTTAATTCCGCTGTGCTGACCCCTTTATTAATAAAGGGACTAAGCCAAAAAGAAAATGAATGAATGATAAATGCATTATTTTAAATGATTATTTTCTAAATGTTGTTGTATAAAAATGGTCTTCTTTAATCATAAATAAAAAATGATAAGTGTTATATAGTCACAGTTTTTTTTGTAATGTATAGGAGAAAAATATGTAAAATTCAGCTTTAGAATGGCTCTGGTTCTGCAGAATGCACACCAAGTCAGTGTGACATTCAGCAGAGACGGTAGGGTTAAAGGTTTGCAGAATTTATGAGCAAAAGACGATAAAGAGAGAGCGAGATACAAAGGACACAAGGCATCTGTGGATGTAACAGTGAGGGAGATGAATACAGTGGTTCAGTGCGCGTCTGTCTCACTCTCTCCACCCCTATTATCTTCTTTTGACAGTGCCATTACTCTATAGAAGAAAAGATGAACGGCACCTGTCAGAGGCTGCTTAATTGTGTGTCTGGGCGTGTACCGCCACAACGCTTTTTATAAATGCTGCGGCTCCTGCAGCCCAGTCGGCAGTCTTAGTAATCGATGCAAAGTCGCTCCTCCAGTAAATGCATAATTGACTGGAGGTTGTTATCTCGCAAGGGGGGCCTAGTTTTGGTGAGGGTGAGGAAATGCAATTTTGCTCCACTTCTGTCACTGATGAAGTGTGCTTCCGGTCTGAAAATCCTGACACTCTGTCATTATCTTTGTGTGTATGTAATTGTCTCACTGTGTCCATGTTTCTTCCAGATAAATGGTCGTGATGTGCAGAACAGGGAAGAAGCGGTTGCACTCCTTTCAAATGAAAATTCAAGATCCATAGTGTTACTTGTCACAAGACCTGAAGGACAGGTGAGGCTAACATAGATTTTGTGGCCAGCCAATCATTGTAAATACTGTAGAGGAAGGATCATCAAACTTGTTCCCGAAGGTCCAGTGTCCTGCAGATTTTAGCTCCAACTCTAATCAAACACTCCTGAACAAGCTAATCAAGGTCTTCCTTAGTATTCTTGAAACACCCAGACAGGTCTGTTGAGGCAGGTTGAAGCTAAACCCTGCAGGGCACCAGACCTCCAGGAACAAGTTTGGTGATCCCTGCTGTAGAGCATATGTCTCAAACTGGATTCCTGGAGGGCCGCAGCTCTTTTCAGTTTTGCACCAACCCTAATCAAAAACAGCTGATCCAACTAATCAAGGTGTTTAAAACCACTAGAGTCTATTAATCAGGTGTGAGTTGGAGGCAATTGGAGCTAAACTATGCATATGTAGCGGGTCCAGGACTCCTGTATCAGCTGACAGTTTAAAGATCCCAGCAATCTGTTAAATGGTGGAATAAACACAAGACAAATATATGCGTGTGATCAGCTCTCCATGTTACTGGGCTATCTTTATTTTTCTCAACATGTTCACATCAAACAAATTTAAATGGCAAGACTTGCAATATCTAAAATACATTGCTATAGCATTTACTGTTTATACATATTGACTGTTTCAGCCTCCTTCTTGTAAATAAACAGCATTTCTTTGACAAATATATTCATCAGCCAATAGCTGTGTAGTACATCTGTGTATTCACACGCTATTTAGTGTCACATGAATCAAATAAACTTAATTGGCTTTTATCTGTACCAAAAATGCATTAAACATGACATTCTCTGAATGTTTTGCCCATATAGATCACTCACATGCACTTTTTAAAGCAAACTAAACATTATTGGAACTGAAATACATGTATATACAAGCATATTCACCTTTATTAAACTATTTGAGTAGATATAAATCCCCTTAAATCGCGGGTAAACATCGCGATTTTAAACCCTCATTAAACATGTAAATGTAATCAAACACAAATCTTTTCCAAAGACTTAATATGCACAAACATGTATACTTTCCATATCAATACAGATTGACAATTAGAACAGTCAACTAACCTGTTAAATGGTGGAATAAACACAAGACAAATATATGCGTGTGATCAGCTCTCCATGTTACTGGGCTATCGCGAGCAGTCCAGAAAAGGCTGAATCACACACTGTGCTCTCTTAGCGCCCTCTATCGCTCTGGCGGAACCACCATTCCCTTTATACATTCACACATGCATATCATTAATATCCTCAATTGTGGCAAACCAATATTTGGGGTGTCACACATAGCTATGCTGTGGCCCCCACCGATAGAATCTGTGTTGTGGTAAATGTGGTTCTGGATTCCCATCAGCAGAAATAACCTGGTGGTGAGTGGTAGTTTCAGTTGTGGGATCATATACTCTTGACACGCTGTGCCCATTTACCATGGCACGGAGGCAAATACTCCACTAGTGACAACATTGTGATATCAAATGCACAAAGGGCTGAACAAATCCTAAGTACATTACATGTTTTGAAGAGCATATAATGCATATAGACCTACCAGAATATAACAAGATATCTCTGATTCATTTGTTGTTTGCAAAAAGAACATAATTTATATTGAATGGTTGTCACAAGATGCTTTTTAGGAATTCTGAGCACAGTGCACAGGTTTGTTCTCTTGACACCCCAGCCCCCTCAGGTCTCCCTTGCAGTAAGATTGCATTTAGTATCCCTCTGTAAAAATAATACTCTGGCCCCCCTTCACTGTGAGCCCCTTCTAGCCTTTGGGCCTTATGCACTCTGCTCCTCATTCCCCTCCACTTACTATGCCCCTGGATAAAACATCTATGGGGCAGCCTTGGTCTAATAGTCAGTAGGACTTGTAACCCAAAGACCGCAGGTTTGATTTCTGGTACTCGCAGATTGTAGGTTTTGGGAGTGAATAACCAGCACTCTCACCATGTTTAAAACCATGGCCGAGGTGAGTTCCTTGACCCCAAGGTTCCCCAGGCACCACTGCATTGGTTGCCACTTCTCCTGGTGTGTGTTCACAGTGTGTGCATGTTTCATTGCTTTGTGTGTGCACTTGAATTGATTGAATGCAGAGCACAAATGAAGAGGATGTCACCAAATTTGGGCTCATGTCACAATTTCTTTTTCTATCAGACTCTTAACTGAAGCAAATGGAATGTTAGGTTTGATTAAAATAAGCTCTGATACTCTGTTGTACATTTAAATAAGAGTGAACCATATTGGGCTTTTGTTTCTTAGATGGATGGAAACTGGCTTGACGAGGATCATCATGATTTCCTCGAAGAGCTGAAGATGGAGATTTTAGAGGAACAGAAAAAAGAGGGAATCCTTCAAACAGCAGGTTGCATGAAGCTTGTAAGTGCGATCATATTTGTCAAAGCTCATGCTCCTCATGTTCTGTCAGGTATTAAGCAATTGTGTCTGTTTGTGTTTTGCAGTCTACAAGGCAGGAGGATGCAAGTACAGATACAGCAACATGCTCCTCCTCCATTCTTGAGAAAGACAGTGGCATGAAATGTAGCTTTGAGGAAAGTTCTGAACATGAGTTTCTGTCTTATCCCCGGACTCAAAAACAACTTCGGGACAGGTGGGAAGCAAGCTCACATTTGGTTCCTATGGACACCATGCAGGAGAAAAAGGGTCAGGATAACAGATTGAGCGAAAACGGGGTGGAATGTGACCATTTTCAGCAACTTCTAGAGCTTAAGTGCCAGATCCGCAATGGTGGAGAATGCGGGTTAGTCTATAGGCGAAGCAGCACTATTGAGTGCAGCCTCACAGAGCAAGGTGGAAGTGGAGTGGCAAGGGAGTTGCACATGCTCAACGAAGAGCTGCGCAGCATTGAACTTGAGTGTCAGAGCATCATGCAAGCTCATCAGTTGCGCAGGAGCAAGCATGACTCACCTAGAATGGATAAGGAAAATCGTCTGCGACGTGGCAAGCTTGCAGATATTAATGAGCATCCTGAAAGACTACAAAGTGAGAAGCTCAGAGATAAAGACAGCTCTAGTGCCTACAATACAGCTGAAAGTTCCCGCTCAACTCCCCTGGGAACAGAAGGATCACCTGATCACTCCTTACAACGTCGAATCCACTTGACCAACCAGAGGAACCTTCGAAGTATGCAGAGTCCCTACAGTAGCCCCATCTTGTCTTTACCCAGCCAAAGTAGCTCCACTTGCAGCCGTGCCCATACCTACACCAGCTCCACACCTCCATTACAGACCCCCATCACCAGTCCCGGATCACAAGGACCCAGCCAGGCCTTCTCCAGCAGTTTGGAGCAAAGTCCCAGCAACCCTTCAGAGTCAGACCCAGCACTTCCTGCTGATGATGAGCGCTGTGAGAAAGAAAGAAACAGGAATAGGTTAGCAGCGGCTCGACAATATCATTCGCCCTACCACACCAGCACTACAACAACCCAGCCTCCCAGCACACGCCACTACCAGAGTTACCTTCAGCTCCTACAACAACATTCCTCTTCCTCTCTGGAATACTCCCAAAGTCAGCTTAGCCTCCTCAGCCTCCGCGGACGGCCTGGACCTTCGCAAGCTGGTAGACTTGAATGGAAGGTCAAAGTCCGAGCAGACGGAACCAGGTATGTAGCACGTCGTCCAGCACGAGATCGTATCCTACGTGAACGAGCCTTACGAATAAGGGAGGAACGCAGCGGCGGGATGACTACGGATGATGATGCAGTCAGCGAGCTGAAGATGGGGCGGTACTGGAGCAAAGAAGAACGCAAGCAGCAGCTAGCCAGGGCAAGGGAACAGCGACGCAGGAGGGAGTTCATGCAGAAAAGCCGACTTGAGTGCCTCAGGGAAACTATGGGGACGGCAAGCGGGGAGGTCAGCATCCTGGAGCTCAGCCATAAGAAGATGCTGAAGAAACGAAACAAGAAGATCCTTGACAACTGGATGACCATTCAAGAACTCATGAGTCATGGAGCACGAGCACCTGAGGGCACCAAAGTTCACAATGCCTTCCTTTCAGTCACTACAGTTTAGCGGAAACAGTGACCCTTGTACTTGCTTCATTCCAAGTGGCCATTTTATAAAGGTGAAGATAAAGATATTTTTCATGCTTTGTGGAACTAATCCTTTGTGACAACTCATTTCAACTAAACTCAAGACTTCAAGAAATGTGAATGTGAACTCTTTTGATATATTTGACACTACCGTTGACTCTACCGTTACAGACCTCGCTGTGTTTTCATACTAGAATGTATACGAAGCGGTTTTAATAGGATTTTACACACTACATTGGTGGTTTGAATGTAGTGTTTCTTTCCATGCATTTGTATTTTATAAATTGCAGGTTTTCATGCGATATAAAATACGGTACTTGAATATCGGCTTTTGCTGCCATTACATCTTTTAAATCCGAAATGTAAATATCTGTACCTGTTCTTACAAAGACCTTTCATGGATAAAGGTCTCCATTGCAGCTTAATGGTTTTACAAGAGTCATTTGACATACACAATGTTACCATTTTAATAGTATTGTATACAATACGTACAATTTTTGTACTCTTCAGTATGAACATTATTTATATTTTTTGAGTTTAATAAGTTATTCCATCTTTCTAATGCCAAATGACCCAGTCTGTATCTCACTCAAGCGCTAAACATGGAGTTTCTACCACTCATTGTGCCTTGTACAGAGGCTCATTTTTCTACCACAGGTTGTGAAGAGACACCCTGAGTAATCTTGCTGTCATGGTTTTTGGTCTCTTTTTGATGTGTAAGACAACTTTGTAGCCAAGTCTACGTGTTCTAGGTGTGCTACATGAGGGAAAAAAGAATAATAAATTATTTACAAAACATAAAAAGGTTTATAATCCTTGCTCAAATAATGATTTTCTAGTTTTGTAGGGCAGACATGGGTATCAAGGCTTTGATCAATTCACGTCTTGATTGACTGCTTGAACTAATTAAGCTCAAGATCAAGACCTGCACTGCAGAGATAAACTGTGATTATATCATTAGAGTCAGACAACATTGGCATTTGTCCGATTCGCATCTCACCCAAATACCACAGCTGTCATTGTTAAACTGACATCCTGTCTAACAGCAGCATTAAAATCAGATCTGTTTGATTGTATGTTTATGAAATACTTTGCATAAAATAACTAGCTGGTCGTCTTGCTTTCTTTCTAGTACCATTCTATATGTCATGCTCAAAATCTGTGTATTTGTTCATACAGAAGCAGATATTGAATTGAGATTTAAATGGATTTTAAGTGGTATATAGTCAAGTACTTGAAAGTTACTTTTCAGACAAAGTAATTAAAAAATTAATTTAGTTTTAATAATTTAGTTCATGTTTATTTCTATATTGCTTTACAATGTATATTGTGTCAAAGCAGCTTAACATAGAAGTTCTGGTACAGTGAAACTGTCAATCCAGTTTTCAGCGTTGAAGTTCAGTTCAGTGTGGTTTAATTTTCACTGCTGAAGATCAAAACACAAGAGCAAATGCATCGATGTGCAGCTCCACAAGTCCCAAACCAAGCAAGCCAGTGGCAACAGTAGCGAGGAACAAAACTTCTCCAATTGACGAAAGTGAACGGGAAAAAAACTCTAGAGAAACCAGGCTCAGTGTGGCATGACTATTTCTCCTCTGGCCAAACATCCTGTGCAGAGCTGCAGTATAAGCTCCGGAGGCTATCAAACACTGGACGTCCATTGTGGAGAGACTGCAGGGGTTCAGGCTGCCCAACAGGATCAATGCGAAGACTTGTCTGTCACTGTGGTCTTTCAGGAATCAGTCTCATGCTCTCTGCTCTTCCATGACTGCCACAGCATCTGCTCAGGATACGGCCTGGTCCAGGATTATGGTTACCCTGGCATCATTTCTTAACAGGTCTTGGATCGCATCAATGCCTCTGCATAATCTCTAGAGGCCTAAGGATGAGTATTCCCAAGTGAAAATAAAGAAAATAATTAGCATAGCTGCTGTTCATAGTATATTTAAACACGAGATGCCAAAATGAAGTGCTATAAATGAAAACAGTAGTTACATTAAAAAACTAACAAAATGTCTGGTGCAATAAAACATTAATTAAAGGGAGGGTGTTCTACAGGTGGTTTGTCAAGCCACTCACTTGCATGTAGCACATTCAGGCATCATACTGTTATGTGATGCACTGTGTGTATGCTTTACTAAAAAAATAGGTCTTTAATCTAGTTTTTAACTGAGATGGTGTGTCTGAGTCTCGGACATTATCAGAAAGGCTATTCTAGAGTTTAGGAGCCATAAATAAGAAGGCTTGACCTCCTTTAGTAGACTTTGCTATTCTGGTTACTAACAGAAGCCCTGAGTTTTGAGATCTTAAAAAGCAGGTTGGAATTTAATGATGTACATAGCTTTTTTGAAACTTAGCCAACACTGGATTTCAGGAGGACCGCTTTCTTTCACAATTAGCATATCTATGAGTCTTTTAGATGCAAAATCCTCAAAAACCTGATGCATCTGTGCACAAATGTCTTTACTGTACATCTTTATGATTGATTATAAAGTATGACAACAAATACAGGTTAAACTAATGATCTAACGCCATATATGAAGGCATAAAAAAGACCCTTTGGTATTATTTGGGTAATTTGTACAGACTATTCTTACACAGATGGTTCTGACTGGATGAAAGCTGCCCGCGGTTGTTAGGATGGTTTGTGTGTGATGGAGGTTGGAGGCTTTTTTGAAGTCTAATGTTTTTCATCTTTGCTATGAATGTGTGCTGCATGTAAAGACCTGTCTGCTTCTGTTTCAAAGTGATAACACTAGCACAGATCTCATGCGCGGATGCCTTAAACCTTCAATGCGTTGAGTTTCTTGAACGCTGATTTCACTGAGACCCCTTTGAACACATCATTATTGTACCATCAGTGTCCAGTAGTAAAACTAAGCACTCAGTATGAATAACCTGTAGACTATTTTACCAATTTGGCAGGTAAGTTTATTAGAAAATGCATTCTTGTTCACATCAATACATAACTGTGTCACAGAGTTTTGTTTTACAGGAGAGCTAACAAATTCATGCCAGGGGAGCTCAAGAATATGTTGAATATTTCATCATGAGGAGGTGTGTGTGGATCCATCTTTTCATCATAAATCCTCTTCATTTTTAGTGGTTTAATCGTTAAATCCTTTCCATCTTTCCCATTTTCACAATGTGAACTCTCAGGTTTATGAAGATTTCCTCATTACGAGCTGCAGAAATTTCTCCCGTCTTGCATTATGGCCCTGATGTGGATGGACTAAACGTAGAGAAGAAGGTGTTGTATTATGTATGCCTGCCAGTCGTTTACCTCGTTAATTTTCTATTTCACTTTTATTTATTCATAAATGCTCATTATGACTGACAGAACGGAGACTTGTGAAATGAGAGAAGGGATATCAAAGCAAATGCCTTTTTTTTTTTTCTCTCCCCTCGTTGTCTGTGTGCGTCTCTCTCTCCACTTTACTACAAAGAGTAATGGAGAGCACTGCTGTCAGTCTCTGTGATATTCACACTTCACCTCAGAGACGAGCTTCATCTGTTTTAAAGAAATAGTGCACCAAAAAATTAAAATACTCTCATCATTTATACTCACCCTGCTGTCATTTAAAACCCACACACAGCTTGCTTTGCACAGAACACAGCTGGAACAAGTGTTGGTGACTTTTTAGTGCTCATTTAAACTACAGTTTGTTAATTAAATCTGTCATCTTGTGTTTGTTCATTCGTACATCTATCTATCTATCTATCTATCTATCTATCTATCTATCTATCTATCTATCTATCTATCTATCTATCTATCTATCTATCTATCTATCCATTCTTCTGTCTGTCTGTCTATTTATCTGTCAATGATTTGTACTTACAATAATTCATTTGTTTGTATTTCATTCATTTGTACGTATATTAATTCATTATTGTATTATTGTTCTATTTTATTTACTTTTTATTATTCATTCTATCTATAATTTCATCTATCCATGATAAAAAATTATAAAGTTTCTTGTATAGTTTGTCATTCATTTTATATCGCAATCCAACATTCCTTTCATCTATCCATCCATCATCTATCTGACTATATCCATTCATCTGACTCCACCATTCTGATTCTGTCCGTCCGATTTCTCTTGTCCGATTCCTTCCATCTGATTCCTTCCATCTGATTCCTTCTATCTGATTCCATCCATGTGATTCTTTCCATCTGACTCATCTATCCGATTCCTTCAATCTGATTCAATCCATTAGATTTTTTCCATTTGATTCAATCCATCCGATTCAATCCATCTGATTCCTTTCATCCGATTCCTTCCATCCAATTCCTTCCATCCTATTCCTTCCATCCTATTCCTTCCATCCTATTCCTTCCATCCAATTCTATCCATCCGATTCCTTTCATCTGATTCAATCCATCCCATTCCTTCCATCCGATTTCATCCATCTGATTCCATCTATCCGATTCCTTCCATCTGACTCCATCCGTCCGATTCCTTCCATTTAATTCCATCCATCTGATTCAATCCATCCAATTCCTTTTATCCGATTCCTTCCATCCGATTCCATCCATCCGATTCCTTCCATCCTATTCTATCCATCCGATTCCTTTCATCTGATTCAATCCATCCGATTCCTTCCATCTGACTCCATCCGTCCAATTCCCTCCATTTAATTCCATCCATCTGATTCCTACTATTGTTACTTCTATCTATAGTTCTTTCTGTCATACCATTATTTCTATCACATTTTAGCATGGTTATTTGATCATATATTGTTCTATTAATAGTTGTAACTTTCTGTCTGTCTAAATGTAAATATATAATAAGTATTCACCTTTATGTATCCATGGTTTCAGTATTCCACAATAAAATAACAGCACATCCAGATTGGGAACAGCATGAAAATTAGTAAATGATGACAGAAAGAGGAGTCTAGACTGACTGAACACACAGTATAAAAAGTCCTGACACAACATTGTGTAGCAGCTTTTCATTTCTGTGGTGTAGAGCGTGT